TTATAGCAAGCAACGTATGCATAGAGGTGAGATGACCCCATGTGAAATAGATCAACAAAGAATATACCTTGGTTAGGTCATGATCATCCATAACATGCTTCAACTTAAATATTTGCAAGCCACCAAATAATTCCAATAAAACACCAACAACATGAATATTGCACTTATATGTTATAGCACATTTGGACTTCACTCCTTTTTGACTTGGCATTAGGATTGTTTTTCCACTAAGCTTCATAACTTGAATCAGCATATAATGAACAATAAGAATTCCAATGAATCAAGCCTCCAATGCCATGGTACCTACAATCAATCATCTACTCTTTAATGGTACCCAAACTAGTTTGGGTCCTCTCAAGTTAGGTGCAACATACTTAGGCATAGCCTTAGTATGAGTAGCGGGATGTTTTGCAATAGCAACCAAAGAGGTACCACTACCATCCTTTCTAAGCACATTAATATCAACAATTGAAATAGGCTTAGAATTGTTACCTAGGGGACATGAATTAGCCATGTGTCCCCTCACTACTACACAGAACTTTACCGAGGCTGGCGAAAATGATTAACCGATGCGAGCATCGCAACCGCCTCGGTCCAAAGGTCACGGTAAATGTGATCTTTTCCGAGATGGTTGGATGCCCGCCTCGGTAAATCGAATCAAAACAAAAAATGAAAAACTCATGGATAGGCCCGGTGAGACCATCCATGGGCCCGCCCAGCCCATCCACGCGTCGTCACTCGCTGGATCTGGCCTCCCTACCGTTGGATCCGACCACAACGGCCGCAGATCAAGCAACCACGGGCGGATCCGGCCACCCCGCCCGTGGATCCGAAAACCACGGGCGGATCGGGCCACCACGCCCATGGATCCAGCCATCACCGGCGTAGATCGGCCTAGAGAAGACGCCGCTGTGCAACCCACCGGGGTAGGGGTGCCGCTGGAAGGAGCTGTCCCGCCTGTCGAGAGGAGCCACCACTAGGAGGTGGTGCCACGCATCCGCGCGCCGCCGTGGTAGGGAAGAAGGGGCACCTCTAGAAGGAGTTGTCCCGCTGTCGAGAGGAGCCACCACCGGGAGGTGGTGCCGCACCCGCACGCCGCCGTGGTAGGGAAGAACGGGCCCGCCATGGTAGGGAAGAAAGGAGGATAGGGGCGCCAAGGGAGGGGGATGCTCGGGGTGGAGGGAGAGGGGCGTGCTCGTGAGGGAGAAGGGCGCTGGCTATGGGGAAGGGCACCGGTGGGAGGAAGTCTCAGGAGGGAGGGAGAGTTGTAGAATCGGGAGGGAGGAGGGGCGTCGTGACTCAGAGAGGGAGTCGCGCCATCGGTATGGTGAGGCTCGAGAGCGAGGGATGAAGTGAGAAACCGGAGTGGCTGCGAGTTGTCCAAAACCCTAGTTCACTGTATATATACTCAGGGGTGATATCGGGCTAGTTTGGGATTTTATGATTGCTAGTGGGCTTGGCCACTATTAACCTAGGCGGGCCTTGTAAGAGGTCTGCCTCCGAAAATAGAGGTATTTTTGGAGGCGGGCCTGACCCGCCTCGGTTAATAGATTTCAGGAGGCGGTTATTTTTTAACTGCCCTGGTTAATCCAGGCATTAACTGAGGCGGTTTAAAAGCCCACCCACCTCCGAGACCTATTTACAAACACAGCGCAAAAGATTTTGTGTAGTAGTGCCTTTTCCAGCATGAGTAGCACTTCCTCTTTGATTGAGCCTTTTATTCCTTGCTCATGTGGTGCTTGTCGTTGCCTTGCTTCTCCTTGTTTGCTTGAGCCTTCTTCTCAAGCTTGTTTGGACAACCCGAAGCTAGGTGGCCCAATTCATCACAACTATGGCACTTGATGTGAGCAACTTCCTTCACCTTCTCTTCTTTGTTCTTGCTTATTTTCTTTGTGTCTTGATTCATCCTTGGACACATTGCTCTTTCTCTTCCCTTTTCACCCCTTCTTGTTTTCTTCTTCATCATCATCAAATCACCACAATCTTTATGGTTGATCTTGATTTGAATTTGGGGCTTCTTTTCTTTCTCATCTTGTGGCTTTAGTTGAGGCTTCACTTGTTGCTTCACCAATTGCTTGGTGGGGCACATAGAGGTGAGATGACCCCATGTGCGGCACTTGAAGCACTTGACATGCTTTAGCCTTTCTTCTTCCTTCTTCAACTTGAGATTCTCTATGTTGGGGCATGAATCATGAAGATGTCCCACTTCATGGCACCGTAGCACATGAAATGAGAGTTTTCACGAGCTTGCTTCTTTATCTTTCCTTTTCTTTTCTCTCCCTTTAGTCATGCTCTTGTTGAAACCAAGACCACACTTGTCACCGTAGCTTCTTTGATTCTTCAGCATATGCTCAAAGGTGACTTTGGAGTTGTAGCACCTCTCTAACTTGTTGCTCAATTTCTTCACTTCTCCTTTGAGCTCATTGTTCTCCTTCAAAAGGTTAGTCTCACATGACATAGAAGTAGAATAAGCATCTAAATGTGAAGAGCGTGGCATATCTAATAAATCATCACACGAGGTGAATACATGCTTCTTCCCTACATCACAAGAGTTAGTCACATGTTGCGATTCATCACTTGAGTCATGTGATGAGCTCTTATTCTTTTACGTTTCTTTGAAAGCACTTCAATGAGAGAAGCATGTTATTGTAATAATTCTTCATGAGATACAAGAAGTTCCTCATGAGTCAATTTTAGCTCATCATGTGAAGTTCTAAGAACATCAAGTGCTTATGTTCTTCACATGAATCCTTTAGAAAAGAGTTTTCTTTTTCCAATTTCACTATTTTAGCTTTCTTGTTTTCTAAAGACATGGTCATGCTAGCAAGTCTACTAACAAGCTCATCATATGAATCAATATGATCAACCACATTAGCATTTTGTACCTTTGTGTCACCTTGTGACATAAAGCAATGTGGTGATGTTGGTGAGCTTGTAGAGACATCACTCTCATATCCATCATCTTCATCAACAATAGGTGTGCATGGAGTAGCATCATCATTTGCATCACTTGTTGCATCATCATCGATCTTGTGCTAGAATCATCATCATCACTTGACCATGAGGTGGAGCAATCTTGCACAATCACCGAGTTATGGCTATGCTCAACATCCTTATGTGCCTTCTCTTTGGACTCCTCATCATCATCATCGGAGACCATCCCATATTTTCCATTGAGATAAATCCAAATCTTATGGGCGGATTCCATATCCATGATCTCGCCAAATATGCTATCTTCCATAGATTGATAGAAAATGTTAGTAACTTGGCAATCGAGATGTAGGCATTTCTTTTGTGCTTGAGTTGCATTATTTTTATCCAATGCATGAGAAAAGCCCACATCTACGATCCACCACATTTGAGGGCAAATGAACTTAAAATTATTTATCATCCAATTTTTCCATCGTCCAAAGTGTGTTCCATAAAAAATGGGCACTCAACATGTAGCCTATAGTTTGCCATCCTCTCAGGTCGGTGAAGACCACAAATGAGAGTCCTCAGCTCTGATACCACTTATAGGGTCGAGATGGCGGACTAGAGACGGGGTGAATAGTCCTTTCTAAAATTAATCGTGCCGGCTAACCGAGATAAATGCGGAATTAAAACTATCGGTCTAACCAAGACTACACCTCTCTATCTAAGTTCTCAAGCACCTTATAAAAGATCCTAATTAGGTAACAAAGGTGCCGGACTAGCTAGAGCTCACTTAACCAATTCTAGAAGCAAGGTCACACAAACCTATGCAACAAGTACTTCAAGCACCGGGGGAGCTCCTACACAAACTAGTAAGCAAAAGCACAAAGCCCCTAAGCTCACTAGCAATACTCAATAACAAGGCTACACAAGCCAAATTAGAGAGCGCAAATTATTTAGCTACACAAACTAAGCCATGTGACTAACAAGGCTACTCAAGCCAATTAGTCACGCAAGAGAGCTACTTCTATACTACACGAGGAAGAAGGTAACTAGCAAGCTACACAAGCTAACTAATTACAAGAGCAACAACACAAGCACAATATGTATGAAAAGTAAATACAAGCTTGTGTATGGGGAATGCAAACCAACGGAAAGAACAATGTTGACATGGTTATTTTTCTCCCGAGGTTCACGTGTTTGCCAACACACTAGTCCCCGTTGTGTCGACCACTCACTTGGTGGCACTACAACAAATCTAGCCTTTTGTAACGGTTTTCTTGTGACAAAAGAAGAATTCATCGTTGATTTACAACGTTTTCTCTAGAAATTGTCGCAACATGTTGTGACCTACATTTTTGCGATGATAAAAGAATTGTCAAAGAAAATGTCACAAAAAAGTCGCAAACCATGAGAACGACATTAAATATTGTCGTAAGCTGGTACATAGAATTGTTTTGACGAATTAGATTTGTCGTAGAGTTCATTTGTTGTCGACGATGAACTTTCTATTGCCATTGAGATTTATGTATTCGCATATGACAATTTTCTATCGTTATAAATTCATTGTGCAAAATTTAGTTGATACATATTTGAATTCACTTATAAAAACACCAATCACAATTTGTTTTCGGCCAAGTAAACCTACTTCTGGTTGTTACTTAAAAAATAGAGAAAGGGGTAAAAAAAAGAAGTCACCAAAATAGAGAAAAGGGGAAAGCAGCATGAATCAAACCGGAGCAAAAAAACATCAACCACCCAACGCGCCACACTTTTCGGCCCTACGTGCCACTCTTTCCATGAGCGCGCGTACTCCAACAAATTTTTTTGGCTTACCCGCTTGTTCCTGTGAAGTCTTTTGAGATAAAATACCAAATATATCCAGTGAATGAAGGGGAATGTAAATATGGTGCATACAGTTCAGAGGGTATTAGAGTAAAATGTTTCACACATTGCACATGTTACCCTGACCGCGTCCTCCTCATTCCAACCGCCGCCCCATCTTTCTACCGCCGCATCCTCCTCATTCCCTTCCGTCGCCTCTGCTTCCCTGCGCCAAGACCCTTCCCTCATTGCAAAGACCCAAGATGGCTCTAGGAAGAGGAAGGAAGCCCTTAGGGACTCGGAACTTCATAGGTAATTTCTCTACCATACCCATCTCACCATGGATCTAGATTTGAGGTTGGGGGAGGTGTATAGGCGGTCCCGGCTCGCTGCTGGAGGCGGTTGTATGCAAGGGAGTGCGGGGGCTCGGCTTGCCCCCGCACACCGCGGTGTGGCTCACGGATAGCCCCACCTGGGCAACAGGCAGAAGAAGCGAGCCGGAGCAAATGATTCCAACCTGGGAGGAGGAGCAACACCCGTAGGGGTGGCCCATGGGGAGGGGGGCTGCCAGCCCACCATGTGGTGACGTGGAGCTAATGGGGAGGAGTGGGATTTCAGTTTTTTGGTAGGGGATGAGGTGCGTGGAGTTGCTGATAGACAAATTCTAGCTCCTAATCATGTTCATGTTCGTCTAGTGCCTCAATGGTTGCTGTGCTCATGGAGAGGAGAGTAGAGAAGGAAGAATATATAGATTGTAGTTGATGCCTACTGCTTGCTTTTTTTAGTGCTTGTAGTTGGCAGCATTTTGGTCAATTGCTTCCATCGATTCAGATGGTTAGAGAATGGAACATTGATTTTGGTCTTATGGCAAAAGAATGGAAAACTGATCAAACGAATTGAATGTCAACTTTTTTTTTCCTGCTAGTGAATTGGGTCTGAACTTTTTTCTAATGTCAACGACCTTACAAAACTTACTGAAAAGTCTCATGCTTGCAGAATGGTTGGGATGCATGTCACTTTTATGTGTGTTCATACTTGCAAATCAAAAGTTTTGTCTCTATGTTTTAGCATTATCGACTTACTGATCGCTTAAGCTTCGTAAATGGTTTTTGAGGTGCTAGCGACTTCTCTCAATGTTCTGTTAAATTCCTAGTTCTATTCTTTGTCTGGGAACGTTTGAACTCCTTCATTTTTGCAGAATGTTTTATCCTGTTGATAGGGTCAACTAAACTGAATGCTGTTTTTTGATCGAGTGTGAACTCCCTCATTCACTATGCACGCGTTGATAGTGTCAACTAAACCAATCACAGCAGTCTTTGCCGGGCTTGGTCAAGCAATGTAGTACCCATGCCCAGTAGAAAAGGGAGGTGGTATAGTAGCTATTGAATATCATCACTATGTGTTATATGTATGGGTGCCATGAATGTTGATGCCTACTTTGCCCATTTTTTATACCTGAGACATGATGGTTGGCATCTGTATGCACTCATGAAACGTCGCTTGCATCTGTGTATGTCATGGAAAAAAGATTTCATGCCTTTTCATGTGAAGGTTCAGTGTATCCTATTAGTCTAAACTTGGTGTACATTGCTATCGGTCTGAACTTGGTGTGCATTGCTATCAATCTAAAAATAGAACCTGCACTTCTTTCATGGAAAAGCAAAGCAAAGTCAAGATTCTGATTGGCTACATTTTCAAATTGTTGATATAGAGAACCTGTTAATGCAAAGCTGCATTCCGAGTACTATTTATGTCATGCATCTAAGTGCAAACTTACACTACACTTGAAATATCCTTATGGTTCGATTTCTCATTTATTGACAATATTGGGTCTCTTGGTTTAAGAGAAACAGATGCAGTCATGTTCTGTCCAAATAAAAATAGAGAACAATAACTCTTGGTTTTTGCTGTCTGTAGGAGGATGGGTTATTTTTTAGCCTTTGAAAATTGTTTATGTGATTGAATTTGTACAGACATGCTGATATGTAATAGCCTTTAAATAGATGAATCATTAGGTAGCTAGGTTAACTAAATTCTCCTTTGGGTTTATATTTGCTGGATGTTTAATCTTGCAAAACTTCTTGTGTAAGAACATCTTTTTGTGCATGCAGCAAGTCATCCTTGCTATACAACTTGCAGTGTCTAATATGAAAAGTTAATTAAACATGCAGCATTTATGTAGGCTCTTGGGTTTTATAGAGGCATATAATCTTATTAAATTCCAACCTTCTAACTATTCTCAAATGATTTTTACAAAGGCGCCTATTACTGAATATGAGCGTTCAAGGAATGAAGAAATAATGAAAAACAACTGAGAGCTGGAGAGGCTTGGTATCAAGACATTAGTGCCCATAGTGAACAATACATTTGTGGAGAGAAAGGGTGAAGACCATGAAGTTTTTGGATCGTTGTATACAGATCAGGAGAGTGGTCAGGAGAGTGAGGACTGTGAAGATGAGGAGGTTATTAGCAAGGTACCAAGTCTTCTAAGCATATGTTTGTTTGTCCTTTATTGTTTCTTATTATGTGTCAATATGCTATTTAGCAAATTTGGTGCCAATTCTGCTTGTTTTTTTTGCCTGATGAAGCTTTGCAGGTTGCTAATGCTGCACATACAAAGAATCCAACAAGGTCTCAGAACACCTCATTAGAGGAACAAAAGCATCTAAGAGAGTGGTGGCACCTCAGAACAAGATGTGCCTAACAGAGTCACTAGGCGTAAAACAAGGGATGTAGCCTTGGTTTCAAGTCCGCACCCACAAGTGATCAATTTAGGCTTGCCAAATGCCACACCCACACATGATGTGTTGGTTTCGGTAGTGATCCTCCCAAAGAATGTAACTTGGTTGACATTACAGATGAAGGCAAGTGATTGTATCTACCTTGTGTAAACAAATCACTTTTCGTTATTTGCACATTGCAATGCTAAATATGTATATGCCATTGTCATAAATTTACTGCCTTCTAAATTCAATCATACTTCTAAATAATTTTTCTTTATTCTCATCTATTCATATCCATAACCGACATACAAGCAGCTCTTAACAGTTTGCATTTTAGCCTTAGATACTACAAATACTCATTTTGGGATAGTTTAAAATTAATTAAAGAAACAACACAGTTTTAAGCAGCCAATCTAATTTGGAATCAGAAACTGATGTGCTATTTAAGCAAAAATCTAATCTGTAATCTATAAACTGAGTACCTAACATAAACATGACTTGAGGCATTAAGAGCACAAGCTCTGAATTGTTGAATTGAAGCACAAAATGACAATTCCTTTCCTCAAATGGTGCTCATGACACAGGGGACACAGAGTCAACCGTAAAATAGTTCTGTAACATGACCGAACTTTCAAAAGAGAAAATGTCATTGCTCAGGGAAAACAAAGCAAAAGTGGTGAGACTGGTAGAGATAATTAACGCAGTCCAGTAGGATAGATACATTGCCCCTTTATAGTATAGATACATGAGTTGCATGTGTACTGCAAATAGCAACTACGAGATTAACACTAACATTATATTGTTGTTAGGTGCACTTGCTGCAAGAAAAGATCCAGATAGGATAAGAGAAAGAAGCGCAGGTAGAGAACTAGATAGGCTAAGTAGAGGATTATGCATGAAGTTGCCAATCCATATTTCTGAAGGGAACAGAGGCGCCTATCCAAGCTGCCAAGCTTGCATGAGAGAGTGGGATCACACTTAGGCAGCACATACCAATCCTTACACACTGGAAGGAGTACAAGAAAAATGAGTCACATCTTGAAAACTACATTGGAAAAATTGGTGTAAGTTAAATTCAATTTTACTGATTTCATGAAAATTCAATCTATCCTTTGCATTCGCAGATTCTAATTTCCATGCTCTTTACTAGGCCCAATTCACCATTGACACCAAGAGTGAAGCAGTCCAATATGCATGTGCTGATTTGCTTAAGTGTGGACAACGTCAGATGAGGCACAAGCTGAAAAAAAAGTACTTTGATGGGGTACCTGCAAGTCAAGTGAGGACTACATCGCTGTGAATCATATGATCTGACAATGAATGGCAGGCCTTAGTGCAAATGTGGTCGACCCAAAGCACAAGGTGCGACAAACCTCTAAATTTCCTGAACCTGAACTTAGATACAAAGAAAATAGAAATTAAGATGGCAAGTGACACTTGTCTTGATCTATTATTATTTTTGTAAATCTTCTTATCTAAACCTCGAACCTTTAGCTAATTTCTATGCTAGGAAAATTTTTAATTAGGTAGTTGTGACATCCTCATGTGGCCGCTTTTGCATTCAGTTTGAGGTCATTGTTGTCCCTCTGCTCCTATTTTAGGGAACATTAGCTCTATGGTCTTAGGTTCTAGCGATTTTCTCCTGGAACCTCTAAGAAGCAGGACATATCTATTAGTTGACATGCTTTGAACTTATGTTTTTGTTTTACTGTAACTTCACTTCTGTATTTGTTCTATGTGTAGAAACACTTAAACAAATGTTTCATGTACAGGAAAGGTGCTTGAAAAACCAACAAAATCGAGAGAAGGTACGATTCTTTCGCATTGTACAGATCTCGGTGTTACATTGCACAAGCCCATGTCGTGGTAAGAAACTAAACAATCAATGATCAATAATGGATATATATTGATTTTTGTATCAGCCTAATTGTTTGTATTTCTTTGCAAATAATTTAGAGACAAGAGAAATACAAAGATGTACAACCTACTGCTATTGATCTTTTCAAGGACTTCCACTGCAGCAAGAACAAAGGATTCAGTGAGCCTATCAAGAAAGCTATTGTGAGTGACTGATTCCCTTTTCTTCTCTGTCCCCATAGTTTTGCGTACATGTTGCAGATTGTTTCCTTCTTTGCTACATGATGTACATCTGAAAAAAATAAACTGCACACAAGATTTAAGTCTCTATTGTAATTTTTTTGCTAGGCTGATATGGAAGCGATCATGGCTGAACCAGTACAAGATGAAGAGCAACCAAAGTCAGTGAACCATGATGTTTCTCAAGTTGTGAAATCAACCACATTTCTTCAAGTTGCAGGAATTCAACCAAACTCCAACAATAGCTCTAAAGGTTGCACTTCCTCAAAGGTACAAGTGCATCAAGTCCCTACCATGCATGCTCTCAAGTTATTTTCTTTACAGATTTGTGCTTCATCAAGACATAGACCAGATTTGTGCCTCATCAAGATATATACCTAGTTGTGATTTAGGAATAAATACCTAGTTGTTTAGTTTGATTCTACTAGTACCTAGCTGTCCTACTCTTGCACATGAATTGTTGTCCCTTAGTTGGGCATTTGCATTTGACTTAAGAATAAATACCTAGTTATTCAGTTTAAAACAACTTGTACCTAGCTGTCCTGTACATGAAAGCAGTAAACTCAATTTGAACCTACTTGTACTTAGCTGTTCAGTTTGCACATAATAATGTCCAGTAAACAAATATTTTGCCTTGCTGCCTTGAGTGGTTATTGCTTCTAAGAGAATAATAGATGATTTATTTCATAGTAAAGCCACCGACATATTTATGGTGTTTATGCACAGGTGCAACAGCTTCGGGCTGATCTTAAAATTGAAAAAAAAAATCAAAAGAAGACCTTAGGCATGAGTTCGAAGCCATGAAGAAAGAATCATAAATGGCAATGGAGACTTTAAAGAAAGAGTCAGAAATGGCAAGGGCAAAACAGGCTGAGGAGATCGAAAAAATAAAAAAGGCATCACAAGAAACCATGTCCTTTCTTCGTCAAATGCTTGGTCCTAGGGATGGTTGAACTTGGTTTGGTTGCTGGTTGTTTGCCCCTAGTATTAGTAGCTCTAACTTTTGAACCATGCTGCTGGTTTCATTGTTTTGTGACCTCTGAGAAGTATTGTGCGGCCTTTAAACTTTGGAACTTGTGGCTACTACAATTTTGGTCAGTGCATCATATGGTCTGTGAGATGCATTATGGCCTGTGAACAAAACTAGTATTGTGGTTTGCTGTTGTTGTCAGTGGATATGATCATTGAAACATGTATTGTATGACCTGCTACTATAACTTTGGTTGGTGAGTTTGAACTTTAATTAATTAACTGTTCAATGATATGATCAATTTGTGACCTACATTGTATTATGTATTTGCTTATATTGATCTGTGTATTATGTAGTTGCTTATATTGATCTTGCCACGTGGCATCATGGCAATAAATAGTTAGCGACAATTCTTCCTAAAACAATGACAATAGCCATTGGTGCAAATTTAGTGACGAAGCAGTATTGTCGAAAGTTTAGCGACAAAAAAACTTGTGTTCGTCACCAAAGGTGTCTAAACACGTCAAATAGGCGACAAATGAGAATTCGTCGCGCTCAGGTCACCAAATCCGTAACTTGACGTAAATTTAGTGTTCAACGACAATAGCTGATTGTCGCAGAAGGTCAAGTGTGTTGTAGTGTGGTTCGGTGGCTAATAGGTGTTTCACAAACCTAGCCCACACGTTGGGCGCCGCAAGAACCTACCCCAACAGTGAGGGTAGCTCAATGACACGCTCTACTAGAATTGCCCTTCGCAGCTCCCGCGGGGTGAGCACAATACCCCTCACAAAGCACTTCTCCGGAGCACCGCACATGCTTCTTGCGGGCTTCACGACGGAGAACTCGCCACCAAACCATCTAGTAGGTGGCAACCTCCAAGAGTAACAAGAAATCCCCCAATCACAAAGATTTCCTAGTGCCACCAAATGCAATCCTCAAATGCACACACACTATGCTCTCAATCCCTCACTCAAATTAGCACCAAGCTTGAGAGGGAGAGAAAGGGGAGGAGGTGGACTTCAATCTCTTATCCACACCCACAAAGGGATCTCAATATCTCCTACAAATCTTGGCTCAAACCATGGGAGAGAGAGAGGAGAGGATGAACCCTAGTTCATAAGATGCAACAATGGGGAATGGCTAGAGAAGGAAGAAGAGAAGAGGGGAGCCAGCCTTATCCCGTCACGCAGGGTATCTCCCCACTCAACACCCGCACTGGAATTTTCAGTCGGCGCAGATTGGAATTTCTCAGTCGGACGCTCCTCTTTCCGACCGTTGGCGCTGAGGACACCCGCATTGGAAATTCCAGCTCGGGCCAACTAAAATTCCAGTTAATTTCGGCCAACCAACAAAGGACCCTTGCCTGGAATAATAAGCCTAGTAAGCAAGAAATTCTTGTTCACAATTCACAACTTGCCCAAAACAAGTGCTATCTCTTCCCAAAAAGCACCAAACCAATTTTAGCACTTGAGATTGCTTTTCACAAAGAATTTTCCTGGGCTTTCTCATCCATCTCACCACGTCACTAAGCGCAATGCATATACAAATAAAACTCACACTTAGTGGCACTAGATAACCGTTGTAATTAAATATTTCTCCTCTTTATAGTATGGCTATTTATCCTAAACCCGGTCATAAACTTCTCTACACACCTATGACCAGTAAAATAAAATGTCCTAGGTTATACCTTCGTCTTGTGCATTCCATTCCATCTCCTCCAATGTTGATGCAACACATGCACCAACCTTGATCAACAAATGATATGATCCACTTCATATCATCACGTGACCTTATTGGTTCATCGATCTTGACCTCACTTGCTCTTCACCGTTGCTTTGGTCCATCAGCGCCAAGTCTTGCTCAAGCTTCCCCGCCACACGGTTTATCGCTTCAAAGACTCTGACTTGCCCTTCACTCTTGCAACCGGTCCATCAAGCCAAGCCTGATCTTGATCTTCTCCACCTTAGTCACATAACTCCATGTCATGTCTCATATGCAATGAGCTCCTTCATCACATGTGTGAGCCTTGCAAGATATTCAAGCCATTTTCACCTTAATGGCATGTGTTGCTCACACAAGTGTACCCGTGGACTAATTACCTGTGTAATTCACATAAACACTTATTAGTCCACCTAGGTTGTCACTTAATTATCAAAATCAAACAAGGACCTTTGAGCCGGGGTGGGGGGAGCCGCCCAATCCTCTACAACACCGCCGCGCCACCTCCATAGATCTCGCTCATGCTCCATGGATCTCACGGGGTGGGGGAGAGGGCCACCGGATCTGCGGCATTAGGGGCTCCCGGTGGGTGAAGACGTCGGGTGAGGGGAGGGGTGCCACCGGGGTGAGGGAAGGAGCCGCCGGGGTTGGGGAGGAGGATGCCGGGGTGGGGGAGGGCGCGCGCCGGGGTGGGCAAGCGAGAAAGAGAGCAGAGCAGCCAGGAAGCATGCGAGAGAGGAGCTCGTTAGGCAGGTGGCCCGTGCGGAGCGAGACTTGGCAGCCAGGAGTTGACTTTGCTTTTTTATTTAGGCGATAGGCACGTGCAGCCAGTGGCGAAGCTAGAGTAAACTAGAGGGGGTGCAACCATGGTGAAAATTTAATATTATTCACTGGTATTCGGATTTTCATGGGTGCATTGGCAACCACAACATAGTAACTAACTTTGTAACTGCATGCGATAGTAAGATAAAGTTGTGGTGCATGTCACGCCTCACGGCCGGCGGGGAGTCGCTGGCGTCAGACGTCTGCAGCATTACCTATTCAGTATCCTCGTGAACTCGTCAGTTCGTCGATGGTCATGCCTCGAAATTGCAGTCCAATCAGAGCGGCGCCGTCTCTAGTCGAGACCCTCCGCCGCCGAAAGGTTGTGCTGCTGCAACGTCGCCGTGGATGCGTCCGACTGAACCTGCGGAAACAACAACGCGCAGGTCGCAGTCCGACGGGTACGTGGGACGATTACGCAAATGTTTTGGGCCTCTCACCTCCTGTGGCTCTAGGCTGTGGCCTCCGCCGACAGGCTCATATAGAGTCATATGCCTTCCGAGGAAGTTTGCGGCCTGGTTTTCGCTTCGCCTTCACTCATGGCGGGGGAGCTTCTCGTCCGCGCTGCTGCTCCTGCTCAACTTGGCGGGCGTGTTGCTCGCCCCGCCCGCTCTTCCTTCCGGCCCGGCATCCGTGGGCACCAGCGCCAGCGCCAGCGCCGACGGCGGCGGGGACGACGGGGAAGTCGACTTCTTCTTCTTCCCGTTCCTGGTCCTCTACAAGAGCGGCCGCGTGCAGCGCTTCATGGGCACGGACACCGTGCCGGCCTCCACGGACCCGGCCACCGGCGTCGCCTCGAGGGACGTCGTCGTCGACGCCGCCGCGGGCCTCGCCGTGCGCCTCTACCTGCCTCCTAGCCTCGCCACCAACCGCACGGGCACGGCAGGGACGGACGACGACGGTGGCGGTGGTGGAAGCGGAAGCAACAGGCTGCCGCTCCTCGTGTTCTACCACGGCGGCGCCTTCGTCACGGAGTCGGCCTTCTCGCCGACGTACCACCGGTACCTGAACGCGCTGGTGTCCAGGGCCCGGGTGCTCGTCGTGTCCGTCGAGTACCACCTCGCGCCCGAGCACCGCCTCCCGACGGCGTACGACGACGCGTGGGCGGCGCTCCGGTGGGCGCTCGCCAACGCGCGGGCTGGGACCGGGACGACCGGGACGGACCCCTGGCTGTCGCGCCACGCCGACCCGGCGCGGCTGTTCCTGGCCGGCGACAGCGCCGGCGGTAACATCGCGCACTACGTGGCGCTGCACGCGGGGCGGGAGGGCCTGGGCGACGGCGGCGCCGCCGCCACGACCATCCGGGGCCTCGCGCTGCTCGACCCCCACTTCTGGGGGAAGCGCCCCGTGCCGTCGGAGACCACCGACGAGGACACGCGGCGGTGGCGCGAGCGCACGTGGAGCTTCGTGTGCGGCGGCCGCTACGGGATCGATGACCCGGTGATCAACCCGGTGGCCATGCCGCGGGAGGAGTGGCGCCGGCTCCCCTGCGCGCGCGTGCTGGTCACCGTGGCGGGGCTGGACATGCTCAGCGCCAGGGGCCGTGCGTACGTCCACGCACTCAGGGCCAGCGGTTGGCCCGGCGAGGCGGAACTGTACGAGACGCCCGGCGAGTATCACGTCTACTTCCTTAACAAGCCCGACAGCGAGAAGGCGGCGAAGGAGATGGAGGTTCTAGTGAACTTCATCAATGGCGATCAAGTGAGCAACACAGCTTCAAGAATGGACGCCTGATCGATGCTGCTTATTTGTTAGATGTTAAGTACCACGGGTGTCACTTGGCTATCTTGTAAAATTCGGTCGGATTAGTGCATCAATCTATGTAATGAAATGTCTGGTCCTAACAAACTTTGAAGCCTAACGAGAGTCTCAGTAATTCCATGCATAGTAAAACCTCATGTTCAGAAGCAGAATATTCCTTGATCATCCATTACCTAAACAGCTTCTTCTTCCACTATGCTCAGATTTTTTGCACTATAAAAATAACGGAGATGTGAAACTCTGACGCTCGCTACAGTTGACTCGGTCACTCCAGAACAAGAGTAACCAGCTGTTCATGACCCAACAATTGCACTACAAGCTAAATTGTTACAACGTACAAACCAAGCCTGCATTTTTGTCATTTTAGGCGCGCTATGGATAGAACAAACCGGCCTGCTTTGAAATTTTCGTATTAGCGACGAGAAACGGCACCCTATTTACATGGTGTATAATAGTTGCTCTTGGATCAGAAAACTGTCAGTGACCAAGACGATGTACAGATGCAGAGCAACAATTGGCTACACGATAAAATTAGTCCCACGCCGTGCAAAATTGCAGTGCATAGTGTAATCACCATAATAATAATAATCTAATGAACGGCCAAGCGCTGGAGATGATCCATGAAGACCTGGAAGCTCACATCATCTGTGAATATGACATCCCCTCCTGGTGCTGGAGGATTGTCATACGAGACCGATGGATTAAGCTTTGCCAGCAAAAATCGAGCCTGCAATTTTCAAAAGAAAGTAAATTCAATACAAATGGCATTCCTTCCATCCTCTTTTATTTTATGTTAATGTATAGAACTTTGTCTTATTAGAACTTAATAAAGTCAAAGTTTATATAACTTGGTAGTTTCCATTGCCCAATAATTTGGTGGTTTTGAAATGTCTGGCTATTTGATGAAGGCTGACCACATGGATTTCAACAAGAAAAAAAGAACACAAGGGACATTCTTTTGGGTTCCCAGCTAATCAATGACCCATGAGCATCCCCGGATATGCTGATCAGCTATTCGGCCTACAATGCAATTTTCAACTGAAACTTGGGTCACTAGTTAAAATTGAAAGTATGGTGAATTTGTGAACCTTATCCAGTAGAGAGAACAAATGTTTGCAATTGCAATAAATAACACAAAGAAATTTCCTGAGGTAAAATGCAGTGTGTTGAAATAATCTAACAAAGAACAAACAAGAATAGAATATAAAAGAAATAACCTGAGAACCATATTGATCACACACGACCAATCGCGGCACAGGAAAGCGTTCCTTGATTATTGCATCAGCTTCCTCCTGTGGAGCCTGCAACAACTGGGCAAATGACTGGACACCACACAAGGTTAGTTGTCGGTTTGGTAATGTAGCACATCAGGATGTATATTGTACATAATGAAGCCCACTGTTCGTAGATAGGCCTAACAGTCTCATGTCCAAAGGCTATGAAACCACAGAATAGTAAGCTTATTTTTCTTAACATAAGAAGACCGTAAGACTTGCAAAACATTTTGATGTCAAGGCACACTGTTAAAGAGTTTAAAAATCAAGCATGGATACAGTTATTTGTAGCCATATGTGCAAATGCATAGAATAAAAGCTACATGAAGCTCAATAGACCAAATCTAATATATAAGGTTTTGGTTGACAATATATTACCTCATGGCCTTCTTGATATTGGTAACCAGCCTTTCGCCACTGTGCAATTGTTATCCCATGGAATATGACAACAGTAAAATAAGAATCCAACAAAAGGATCCTATCAGCTGCAATTGCAGTTACATCCAACAGAACTGGCTCTGGACCCGATTGGAATGAATAAGATATGAGTGATGGTTGGATCATCACAACTGCATTTGATACATTCTCTGTGTTTAACATCATTGTGAAATATGCAGTTTCATCGGGACTGTTGTTAGAAACCTGCATGGGAAGTAAAAATAATCAGTGCACCGAGAAGTGTGTTTTGCATGATCTGTTGATCAGAACTGCTCAATAAATGAGGCAAAAAGCTTTACCTGAACAAACTGAGATCGTCTCAAATTAAACATGAACTGGGGAAATATGGACAGACGAGGGGATAAACTGAAGGATGAGGGTGTTTCTTTGTGATAGTCTCCAAATTTCGAACATAAACTAATCAATGCTCGATCAAGCCACCTTATAGGGTCAAAATCAGCCTGAAAGAAGCATGAAGGTTATACTACCAGTATATTAAGGCTCCGAAATGGAAATATTAACTACAGTAAGCTGGCAACATTTTATTACTGCACTATATTCATCATACTGTCATACCATTTTCTCAAGTGAAATAAGTTCATCTATCATGTATGTGCTAATGGTAAAATAATTTAATACATGTCGTCGAGTACCTCAGCTTCCATCTTAAATGAGACCAAGCGTGCCATGACTGCAGCAGCTGCCTCTTGATCAAAGCCATCTATTAGTTCCTACATGAGAAAAAAAAAGGTGATACCCGTCGACAAATTAAGCAGAAAATGATTGTGATCACCAAAGTAAAGAAAGTTAGACTAAAACTTGCCTGCACACCACCAGAACCAGCAACCCATCTTCTAGAAAGTGTAGTAGCTCGTAATCTCATCTGCCCCTCATGATGCTGGTAACTGCATGCAATGCAACACCTCAAGTCAGTCACATACCATTCTTTGACTGTATTGGCTTGTTTTGCCTAAAAATGAAGGGGCACAGACAGATCCCCTACTAGGTTAAGAATTGGAAGTAGAACTGATTGCTTGCTGATTGACCAACACCAACCGAATCTGGTCCATCCTTCTTTGCAATATCAAATACTAAACAGAGTGATGTTTTCCTGTCTAGACCACACATCTTCCATGCGTTAGTGTTTCCCTGACCTACAACTGTATCTGAGGATAGAGGACTTTTCTGCACATAAAAAGATCAGATGTAGAGTGTTATTCCAAAAAAAAATGACAACATGTAACTGATACACACTATACCTTCTCCAGGGAAGTACAAGGTCCAATAATTCCTTGGATTTTGACATCCTTTGAGCAGTTAATCTCAAAGATACCACTGCAAATATAATTTTATATACGTCAATCAGAACACTCAAATTATTGATGGGCTAAGACATGTTATTAATTACTATAAAGAGTATTTACTTGAATGATAAATCAAGATCATTGTCACTTGACTGAAAGAAGCGTCGAAGTGAGTCTTTAAAAACAGAATGACCAAAACTTTCTGCAAGCACAACTATTCCACCAGTTCTCTCCACAGCAACCTTCATCTCAGCAACACCAACCTAAGAGAGAATATAAACAAGAATTTTAATTCAAAAGCAGCCTACGCACCTTAAACTGACACACAACTGAGATTTTACTAACTACTGGTAGTTTGTTCATTACCCTATTTCAAATGACAAATCATTTGGCTATTTTTGTCGCAGAAACTAGCAACTACTATTATACAAAGGACAAATCTTTATCAACAAATTTAGCAACTAATTACTTGGTAGCTGAATGTTCAAACCAATTACAACATCAGAAAAAAATATGTAAGTTACTTCACCAAATTGGTTGAAGCATTGAGTTCATATGCCAGTATGCACATTGCACGAGCCTAAAGTTTCTGTTGATTGGTCATTATATTCATATAGTGGCTTGGTGAGACAAAAAAATGCTTGTGCAATATAAGTCCGTAAATTATTGCATATCAATTTTTCTTTAATTTCTAACTAAACAACCAAAACCAAGCAAACAAAACTAAATTTTCATAAAAAATTAAAAAGAACAGAAAAGAAGGCAACAAACCTGGTCAAGCGCACAAGCAAATAAATCAAGTACATGGCCTTGATTCACAAGCTGCTTAGAGATATCCTCGTAGAATTTAACAGCTTTGTTATAAAGTGGAGCTGAACCTTTATTGAGGTCTTTGTGCGAGCGAATTGGTTCTGATAGGGACTTGGATACGATCTGAAATTTGGAAAATAATATCATTATAGTACATTAGAAAGCATAAGAGCAAGAAATGAGTGATTGCAATTTTTTAAGAAAAGCCATGATATTTGAGACAATCAGACTCTCAATGATAAACAATATTCAAGGGGGAATTAATGTCATGTACATGCTCGTGCCTACATTTCCCTGATGGCATATCACTAATTTGCATGTAGTGAGTTATAGAAGTGAAAAGAAAGAAAGCTAAAATGGTATTCAACTTTATTTGGAAACAAACCGTGCTATATTGATCAAATATAAGCAGAATAGACAAAACTGGTTTGTCTGATTTTCATATTGCATATAAAATTGGGAATTGGAGAGGTTTATTATACTTCCATTACAGATAAGAAGCACAAAACTATATCCAGAACAGCAGAACATAGATCAAGGTACCAAATTCACAAAATTTCCATCAAATGAATCTGAACTCTAAATATGCACAGCCCTATAACAGCGTAGTTGTAATAAAGTTTCTTAAAATTAATCCAGTCAATTTGGGTCATTGCATGAGGTTTTCATACAACTAGACTAGTCATGTAGGGCCAAACCCAATCTGTTAGCCAGTACCAATCCAATTGGGATATGGTGTTACAAGTAGTTCCACAGCATATTAAACGGAAAAGAAAAAACACATTATTACTTACAAAAGGAGAGTAGAGATAGGTTTTGTAACTGTAGGAGAATGATTATAAACACCACCAACTATAGAAAATGCAACTGCTACTGTTACACGCCAGCAGTATCACAGGTACCATAGCAGTAGCAGCAGGCCTGAGTGGCAAGGTCACAAGGATTTGGAAGACACCTTTTTCATGGTTAAGATTATAGCTTTCCTGTTGCCAAAAAGATTATAGCTTTTCCATATTCCATAATAGATAATGAGTGTCCTAGGATACCTGCTTGGTATCTTATCTATATTATAGAATGATTTATCAGTATCTGTTAGATGAGCCTCTATACAAGGAATCCTATGCCACTGTGTGATTAAGCAAGAAGAAACAGTGATTCCAATCTTAGCTTTCTCCCTTCCCCCTGGGAGTGCCAACATGACCTGGCCATCCTAACATCTACATTTATAGCATCAGTGTAGATAAAGAAAATGGGAATGAAGCTAAAGAACATGTTAAGAAAAGGAACTGACTTACAGAACCAGGTCCCTCTGTAGATGGACCACCTACAAATGCCATAATTCTAGCACCTGATCCAGGAACACAAACCCCCAAGAGACTAGCAGCAACACTTAATGCAACTCCAGTACACCTTGATGGACGTTTATCAGCTGGAACAGGCCAAGGGTCCTTTTGCAGTTCTTCAATTACCTACAGAAAAAGGAAAACAGTGTCAACAGCGTAATGATGGAAAAGAATTTTAGTATGCCACTTGAGAGTCATAATTTTAGTGTTCCACATTTTGATGTGCTACAGAACTTTGCCAACTCCCTGACCAATGTATCATGGTTTTATAATCAAGCAGAGCTCTTAACTGAATTCAACACAAACTCGCACTCAGAAGCAGGCAACAGGAACCTAGCAATACTCTCTGCTGAGAGGCCATTCCTTGCGCCTCATGATCACACCTGTTGTGGGTTTAGTTTTCCCAGCAAAGAAACTCATTTGGTCCAGAATTTGCTCCTTTGTAACTTCTTTTGTCCCTTTGAACACATATGACTTTGGCAACAAGCCAAAACCCAATTCATGCACCTACATAAATTAAATCTCTGTATTAGTTGTTGACCAGTGCATTCAGCAATGGAGTATCAATATGAGAGATGATAATGACCTGAACATATGTCCCGAAGGTAATAAATCCAACAAGGGATTGATCTGGCAATAGTTCAATTGCTTGTGCTAAAGCAGACTTCAAATAGCCAATCTCCTCCTCAATCATACATGTATCAACAACAAAGAGGAAGACTGGAGGAGCCACAGGACCCGTTTCAGAAGTGGATTTGTACTCAACGGTGGTATATTGAGGAAACAGCTCAGCAGGGAGGTTGTTTTCTGAAATAGAGTTGTAATGTTGTGGGAAATGGTTGCGCTGAAAGCAGAACGGACAGACCCAAATCTTTGCAACAAAATCAACAACTGAGAAAGGGTTGAGAATCGAACGGCACATGCGACAACGGAGAGGGGCATAAGGAAGAACAGGAATGGAAGGATTTGGCTTTAGAGGAGTATAAATGGCAGAAACAGGAACCACACAGTTAGTAGCATCCTGCTTTGTGCCTGGTATAACATTCCATGTCATTCTTATCCCATCCTGGGTCTCAAGGTCCAGAAACTCAGACATCTTCTGTAATCAAGTGGCTATAGCGATAATTTCTTCAACAGAACCTCTGATTCACAACACTGCAGGCCTCTGCCAGCAGGAAACTCCCCAGCCTGTAATGTAACAGTCAATTCAACATTGGGTTAAATTGGAGAAAGCCAACACAACAGAGAAAAGAGAAGAAAATTGATATAAACAAATCAAATTAACTGGCATATAGACTACTGATTTACTGGCAGTATAGTCATTGCGAGCTTCTGAATTTTCAAACAACTGAAGCACCCACTCCAAGTTAAGATTAATGATGGAAGTGGTTCTACAATGAGTGTCAACTATTCCTGAACAAAAAAAAAATATTCCTGAACAGAATGTAAACCTTAGTCTATGAGAGATCCCTTTTAAAAATTTATATTACTATAAACAACAGTATTCAGAGCTGATAAGTGGAGGTTTCTACGAAGCCATCACCACCTAAAGCTGTTTCCAACAACCGTTACCCAAAATACAGGACCCATTTCACATTTGGGTAGAGCTACAAGTAAAGGGTTCAATACCTATTTTTTGTCTTCTTCAACAATAAGACTCAAAAGAGAACCATTTCTGCAAAAATGTCTCCCGAAGAGAGGATACTCAGATTTAGGTTATACCTCTCCTCCAAAAATGGGTCTTCCAGGTACTCTGTTGGAGGCTGTAAGTATTGTGTTGAAGACCTATTTTAGGTTTGGATCTCCTCGACGAGAAGGTTGATCATGCATATATCATAAGGAATATATGTTGAGTCCCCCCCCCACACACACAATTTATATATAAAAAGATACATCAACTGAGAAATAACTGAATTGTAGTATACTACAGTCTACAGCACAGCAGACCAGCTCGCAGAAGGTTGGATGGATTGGAGCACCAATCCCAGCAAGTAACTGAATTTGATTGCTCACAGCAATTTCCTCGCAGACCAAAACGCAAATCTCAGACACTGATTCAAGCAAGCTAGGGCTTACTTACCACCAGAAGACGAAATCAACCCACGCCCGTATGGATCTCCACTCCAACGAAGAGGACTGAGCGAACTCCACGGAAGCGCTGATGTAGTTCGCTTCGGTGGATTGGAAGGGGGGTTTGGGGGGTTTCGGAGGTGGTGTGAGGCTGGGGACTTGGGTGGGAGGCGTCGAGTGGACTCGCGCCGCCGCCGCGAGGGGAACGGATGGAGGGGGAGCCGGCAAGAAGCACTGAAGCAGACAGGGACGGCGATCGGTAGCCTCTGTAGTCTGGAGCCCTCTGCTCGCCGAGGGGGAGAGAAGTACCGGAAGTTTTGCCGACAACGAGGAGTTGCAATTGCAAACGGGGAGAGAATTCGTGACCTCCGAGTTCTCTTCGACAAATTTCAATATTTAACGTGAGTAAGCCTCGCAAGATTTGATATTCAACTCGGCCGTCTTTTAAAATTTGGCATCGTGACTGCGAATTGCTTCCATGGATTTCAACCATTTTCTCTCTATTTTCTTTTTCGGTAATGTTTTCACCTCTCCCAGCCACTTGAACGGACCAAAGTACCCCTGGCCTAATAGAACACAGAGATCGATTTCCTTCTCTGTTTTCGTCGCGACTCGTCTCGTGAGCGAGACGGACGCATGGCCGCCCGTCCGCCGCCCATCCGCCCGACGGGGAGCCCCGTCCGCTGGCGAGGAGCCCTCCGCCCGTCTGCCGCCCTTCCTCCTCCCCTCCTGGACCACCCTCCGCCACCAGACATGCTCGGCAGCAGCCAAGATCCAGCGTCGCCGCCCTCCAGTCTCGGCTCTGGCCATAGGCCTTGTGCTGCTCGTCGCCATGGCCGTCATCCTAGTGGTGACCCGCCGGGAGCTCGAGCACGAGACGCACGGGTTCAGTGAATCCAATGTGGTGGGGTGGGGCGCCTACGGCGCGGTCTACCGCGAGCGGCTCACCGACGGCACTACCGCCGCCATCAAGCGTCTGCGGCTGGTGCACCGGCGGCAGGGCAAGCATAAGTTCCGTATCGAGGTAAACCAATCAACTCCACCCTGCCCGGTGCTGGCGCACGCGCACACACACACGTCACCTTCAACTCACGCCATTGTCCACGCGTTTAATCAGGCTAGGGATACTTTGGTCCTTTTAGGTGGCGGGGGAGAGGTGTGTAAGGAAAATGGACCATTGGCCCATTTACTTTGGATTTTGGTGTTTGATGACCAACACAATCAAATTGAACTGATGAATTTGCAAGTGATTGTTTTGTAGTTCAATAGGATGCAAGACGTGACTTGAACGAATGCGATGTGATGATCCGATGATCAACACCATAAGCAAGACCTTAAAAAGCACAAGAAAAGACCCAAGATATCAAGCAAAGTCTAAGCACGAAGATAGGAACCAAGCCGGACGCAAGATCGTGAAGAAACGAGCTCACGGAGGTGACCGGACGCTGGATAGCTCACAGAGGTGACCAGATGCCGGACCGAACGCTGGACCGGACGCTGCACAGCTCACAGAGGTGACCGAACGCTACACCGGAGCTGAGCAGCAAAGTGACCGGACGCTAAATGCCAGAGTCCGGTCAACATCAGTAAGGTTCCAAAGAGCCGTTTTCGTGACCGGACGCGTCCGGTCAGTGCTGACCGGACGCTGGTCAGAGTCCGGTTAGTAGCAGAAAAAGCGGGATTCCATCCCCAACGGCTACTTTCTCAGTGGGGCTTATAAATAGACCCCCAACCGACCATTTGACATGAGTGGAGCTGAGGAAACATATCTAGAGTGTTGATACACCATTTTAGTGATCTTTACTTGCATAGTGCTTAGTGTTTCATCAGGTGATTAGCGTAGGTGTTTTGCGAAGTGCTTAGGTTGATTAGACCAACGCTTATGCGCTTGCTCTAGGTTTAGGCCTTGTGTTTAGTGAGGTTTGCATACCTCTTACCACTCGGTGCTTGCGCGCACCATTATTGTAAATCGGAGGGGCTTGTAGTCTTGCGAGATCACACCAACCGCGTTTGTGGTGTGGCCGCTACCATGTACTGGAGGGAACAAGGCCCGCGGCGTTTCGGCCAGAAGCTTGATAATGAAGACGGCGGGGAGCATCCAGGAGAGGCTTGCCGGAAGACACGTCGGAGACCCACTTGCGCGTGGGGAAGGCCCGAGGCTATCCATAGAGTTACCCGACCGAGAGCTTGGCCCTTGCGATGGATTTCTTGCAAGGGGCTCCAACGAGGACTAGGGGAAGCTTGCTTGCTTCTTGATACCTTGGTAAAAATACCAGAGTCGTCGACGAGAGTTTGCATATCTCTACCTTAATCTTTAGTTTCCGCATTTACATTGATTGCATTACTCCTTTTGCGGTAGAGATAGCAACATACTAGCAAAATCGTACTGCACATTTAGATAGTTTATCTTTTGCATAGGTTTTGCTAAGGTTAGAAAAAGAGGCCATAGTTTAGAGTTAGAATTTTAAGTTGCCTAATTCACCCCCCCCCTCTTAGGCATCACGGTCCCCTACAAGTGGTATCAGAGCAGGTTGGCTCAATTTGGACTTTTGGCTTAACCGTCGTTGAGCCGACGCTATTTAGAGTGGTTGGGATGGATACCTCTAGGCCTCCGCATTTTGACGGCACTAACTTCCCCTATTATAAAGCTAGAATGGCTTGCTACCTTGAGGCGGTTGATTTAGGAGTTTGGAGAGTCACTCGTGACGAGATGAAACCCATTAAGAATCCCGATAAACCCACAAAGAGTGAAGAAAAGGAAATACATTTCAATGCTAGAGCTAAGAATTGCTTGTTTGAATCTTTTAGCATGGATGTGTTTAACCAAGTGTTCACTTTAAATACGGCACATGAAATTTGGTTAAAACTCCAAGAGCTCCATGATGGCACATCTAATGTCCATGAGCAAAAATATTGTCTAGCTAAACAAAATTATGATTCCTTTACAATGAATGATGATGAGCTTGTTCGTGATATGTATTCTCGTTTGAATCTAATTATCAATGAGCTCCATTCAGTAGGATTAACAAAGCTAGACGATGCGGACATCGTGAGGAAGATCATCTCCGTGCTACCACAAAAGAAATATGCAAGCATCATCACCATCCTTCACAACATAGAGGACTTGAGCACCATGACCCCGGGCATAGTCATTGGCAAGATAGTGGCATTTGAAATGTCACGTAAGATGGGTCAAGAGAAGCCTCTTCATCGAGCAAAGGCAAAGCTCTCGCATGTAGCGAGAAAAAGAAGATGAAGGGCAAGCAAGTTGAGACAAGCTCAAGCTCAAGCTCCTCAAGTGAAGATGAAGAAGAAGATGAGGACGATGATGATGATGAAGAAGAAGATTTAAGTGAAAATGATCAATCTTCCTCCTCCACCTCCGACCTTGATGAAGAATCAATCAAACTAATTAACAAGGTGGAGAAGATGATCCAAAGGCTCAATGTCAAGGATGTGCCCATCTAAATTCAAAATCTTATTTTCATCAATCAAAGAAATGAGCAAAGAAAGAGAGGATGCTATGGATACGGCGAGTTGGGGTACTTTGTGGAAGTTTGTCCAAACAAGCCCACACCCAAGACAAAGAAGGCATGTAAGAACCAAGCCCTCACATCAATAAGGTCATGGAATGATTCTTCAAGTGAAGAAGAACACCATCACAAGAGGCGAGGGTGCAAGCACTCATCATCAAACTCTTCTCGTATGTGCCTTATGGCACAAGGTAATGAAAGCTCATCCTCTAGTGAGAGTGATAGTGATGATGAAATGCTTTCTTATGATGAAATTGTGCAACAAAATCTTAATTATGCTAAAGTTTGCACTAGTCAACAAAAGAAGCTCGAAAAATTAAAAGAAAAGCTAGATAGTTCACAAGAAGCATACAAAACTTTGCTTGAACAATATGAGAACTTTGCTAATCTCAATGTTGAACTATCTATTAAAATTGAGCAACTTGAGGCTAGTGCAACAACAAATGCATGCACAATCAATAATGAGCAACTTGTAAAGAAAAATGAAAAATTA